TACTGGACACGATATGGTGCTCTTTCTTCCTCCTTACATACCTTCTTTTCTTAGCTTGCTTTGAATATTAACTGTTGAAAAGAATTGAACTATTTTTCTTGATATATAATTTTTTTATTTATTTTTAATTGAATATAATCCATATACTATAAAATTCACCCTTTTGAAGTGGACAATCCAGTGGTTTTTGGTATATTCATAAAGCTGTACAACTCTCACCACTATCTAATTCCAGAACATGTTCATCACCCCAAAAAGAAACCCTATATCCATTAGCAGTCACTCCCTATTCCTCCCTTACCCCATCTCCTGACAATCACTAATCTACTTTCTGTCTCTAACACATATGGTTTTAAAACAGCTTACGGTACTTTTAACTGTCATTCAAGTACACCTTAAAGCTAATTTTTTCCCCTCAAAACTAAAAAGATTTTTCTTATTTTAATATAACTCAATAGGAAAATGTGATTTAACACAGAAACTTGCTAAGATATCATTTCAAGATACAAAACAAAAACTCTTATCAGGAAATCATCTTATAAATTTACTTTCCTCAATTTTGGGTCAACCTAAAGTACTGAACATTTTTTATATATTTGTTTTTGTTTTGCTAAGTTTTTTATCAAAGAAGTATAATATACATATAGAAAAGTACACATATCATGAAGGTACAGCTTGATGAGTTTTAAACGCCAAATACATAAATGCATCCAGTCCTAGATCAAAAAACAGAGCAGAAGCCCACACACCCTTCACCTCCAATCATCACCCCCCCACAAAAGGAAACCACTCCCTTGAGTTCTAAAAGCATAGACTAGTTTTGCCTCTTTTTGTACTTTCATAAAAGGAAGCATACAGTATGGTGTATGGAAAACTCTTACATTCAAATTCTAGGCCTTATAACACTCACCATAATCTTCTTATACAAAGCCATGACATTATCATCATCGAATGGTAGAAATCCACACATAAGTACATATAAGAGTATGCCCATGCTCCAAACATCTGCCTGAGAGGGAGAAAAAAAAAAAAAAAATCATTCAAAAAATCTTTAAAACATATTTCAGAATGGCAGCATACTTAATAGAATCACAAAATCTTCACAGAGCTGGAAAAGAGCTCAGAGATCATCCAGTGCAACCCACTCATGCTACAGACAGGGAACCTGAAGCACAGAAAGGAAGGCTTGTCCAAAGTCACTCAGTCAATGGCAGGGCCACCAAGGTAAGTCTCCTGACTTCTAGTTCAGTGCACTCTTCTCTAACTCTGTACTGCTTAATAGGAAATAATTTCCAGTTGGCTGGGTTGGATTGGGGGTGATAAGAACATGAGGCCAGGTCTCTGATTCTGCAAGACAATTTTACACTGCTACTGAGAATTTAGGTTACATATGAGGATTATGTAAACAGGCACGAGAATGTCAAAATAAGTCTTAAAATTTACCACTGATAATGTGTAAATATGACTAAGCTGCACTGTAAAATCCTCTCTATGTAGAGAAACCTTAATAAAGTTCAGTGATTGACTTTTCAAATATAGAGGCTAGAAATTAGCCTGCCAGCACAAATAACCCTACAAATCTCAAAATCCCAGAAAGCAGCTTAACCTTTATACAGGATATCCATGTGTCCCATGAGTCCTAAGCAGTAACTATTTATTCAAGCAGTATTTGGCCTTAGTCAATAATGACACCACCATTAACTGAGGACAAGACACAGTTCCTGCCCCCTTTTGAGCCTTAGGAAAATCGTAAGAGGTTAGAAGGGCAGCATTGGAAAAATAAGGAAACAGAGTTAAAATACCTTGAACAATATCATACATTTAGGTACTACCTATACTGTTGCCATCAAGGACAGAGTAGGACTGCCCCATAGAGTTTCCAAGGAGCACCTGGTGGATTTGAACTGCCAACCTTTTGGTTAGCAGCCCAGTTCTTAACCACTGTGCCACCAGGGCTCAGTAGGCTAAATTTAACCCACGGTCCTGTCTACCATATCACATTAAACCGTTAGGAATGTAGTATGATGTCTCAAGTGAACAATTTACTTTCAAGCAAACACCTGATTTTTCTTCCAAGTTGAGGAGATCAGAATTTAACCATTTATGCCTCATATACTTAATCCATAAATACAACCATGATGGCACACTACATATGTGATAAATCCAAAGAAAAGAGGTTGCCCAGGAAGGAGTAAGCTAACACAGCCTAGTCAAATACCACAACAAGCGGTCAACCAAGAGATTATGTTTGGGTTAAAACTAAAAGATAAAGAAGAACAGGATACAAGGAAAAGATTAGTC